TATATGAAATACCAAGGGTAGAAAGTTGATTAGTAGTTGTGTAGGGCTGATTAGGGGGTGTTAGGGGAAATGGGGAGTGACTTCTAGTGAGTATAAGCTTTCTTTAGGGAAGAGAGTTTATTTGGGGAATGATGAAAAAGTTCTAAAATTGATTATGGTGATGGTTACACAAATCTGTGAATACACTAAAATGATTACATTATATACTTTAAAAGGATGAATTGTATGGAATGTGAATTATATCTCAATAAAGCTGTTACAAATATCTTGGAACAAAATAGTAGCAAATCAAAGCCAACATTGTATAGAAGAATTATACCCCACAGCCAAGTGAGATTTACCGTGGTATGCAAGACTAGTTCAACTTGCAAAAATCATTTGTCATTCATCACATCAAATAGCTAAAAAGTAAAAATCACATGATCATATCAATAGATGAAGAAAAAGCATTTGACAAAATCCAACACCGATTCATGATAAAAACTCTCGGTAAATTAGGGATAGAGTGGAACTTCCTAAATTTGATAAAGACTATCTACAAAAAGTCTACAGCTAACACCATACTTAATGGTAAGAAACTTGAAGCTGTCCCCCTAAGATCAGGTGCAAGGCAAGGATGTCCACTCTCACCACTCATTTTCAGTATCATACTGGAAGTACTAGCTAATGCAGTAAGACAAGAAACAGGAGGGGGGAACATACAAATTGGGAAGGAAAAAGAAAACTGTCTTTATTTGCAGATGACATGCTTTGTATGTGGAAAATCTGAAAGAATTGACCAAAAAAACTAGACGATAAGCAATTAAAGCAATGTTGCATGATACAAAGTTAACATACGGAAGTCAGTTGCTTTCCTATATACGAGCAATGATCAAGTGAAATTTGAAATTAAAAACACAATACCATTTACATTAGTACCCCCCAAAAATGAAATACTTAAGTATAAATCTGACAAAATATGCACAAGATCTATATCAGGAAAACAACAAAACTCTAAGAAATGAAATCAAAGAAGAACTAAATAAATGGAGAGATATTCCATGTTCATAGATTGGAAGACTCAATATTATTCCCAACTTGATCTGTAATTTGAATGCAATCCCAATCAAAATCTCAGTAAGTTATTTTGTGGTTATCAACAAACTGATTTTAACGTTTATATGTAGTGGCAAAAGAGCCAGAACAGCTAACAGTGTTGAAGGCGAAGAACAAAGTTGGAGGACTGACTGCGCCTGACTTCAAGACTTATCATAAAGCTACAGTAGTCAAGACAGTGTGGTGTGGGTGGAAGAACAGACAAATAGATCAGTGGAACAGAACAGAGAGCCTATAATAAACATAGTCAGCTGATCTTTGACAAAGAAGCAAAGGCAATATTGTGGAGCAAAGTCTTTTCAACAAATGGTGCTGGAACAACTGGACATCCACATGCAAAAAAATGAATTTAGTCACAGACAGACCTTCCACCCTTCACAAAATTAACTCAGAATGGACCACAGACCTAAATGTAAAATGCAAGGCTATAAAACTCCTAGAAGATAAACAGGAGGAAACCTAGGTGACCTTGGGTATGGCAATGACTTTCTAGATACAACACCAAAGGCACAATCAATGAAAAAAATAATCGATAAGCTGGATTTCATTAAAATTAAAAACTTGTGCTCTATAAAAGATGATGTCAAGAGAATGAGAAGACAAGCCACAGAGTGGGAGAAAATATTTGCAAAAGACACATCTGGTAAAGAACTGTTATCCACAACATACAAAGAGCTCTTAAAATTCAACAATAAGAGAACAACCTACTTAAAAAATCAGCCAAAGACCTTAACAGACACCTCACAAAAGAAGATATACAGATGGAAAATAAGCTCCACTTCATATATCAGGGAAATACAAATTAAGACAATGAGACACCATTATGCACCTATTAGAATGACTAAAATCAGTAACCCTGACACCATCAAATGCTGACAAGGATGTGGAGCACCAGGAACTCTCATTCATTGCTGGTGGGAATGCAAAATGGTACAGCCACTTTGGAAGACAGTTTGGCAGTTTCTCACAAAACTAAACATAATCTTACCATACAATTCAGCTATCACCCTCCTTGGTATTTACCCAAAGGAGTTGAAAACTTATGTCCACAGAAAAACCTGCAGCTATAAACTGCTATAAATGTGCTATAAACATACATGTTTATAGCAGCTTTATTCATAATTGCCAAAACTTGCAAGCAACCAAGATGTCCTTCAGTAGGTGAATGGATAAATAAAGTGTGGTACATCCAAACAACGGAATATGATTCAGCACTAAAAAGAAATGAGCTATAAAGCCATGAAAAAACATGGAAGAACCTTACATCTATATGACTGAGTTAAAGAAGCCAATCTGAAAAAGCTACATACTGTGTGATTCCAATTATACGACATTCTGAAAAAGACAAAACTACGGAGACAGTAAAATGATAAGGGGTTCCCAGGGGTTGGGGGGTAGTGGTGAATAGGTAGAGCACAGAGAATATTTAGGGGAGTGAAAATCCTCTGTATACTATAATCGTGGGTACATATCATTATACATTTGTCCAAATGCAAAGAATGTACAGCACCAACAGTGAACCCTGGTGTAAACCATCAAATTTGGGTGATTATGATGTGTCAATGTAGGTTCATCAGTTGTAACAAATGTACCACTCTAGGGTACGCAGGGGAGGCCATGCATGTGTAGGGGCAGAGAGTATATGGGAAACCCCTGTACCTTCCTCTTAATTTTGCTGAGAACCTAAAAAAAAAAGTCTTTTTTTAAAAAAAGAAATAACTTGGTGCTTTGTGCCACTCTCAGACTAGATAGGAAATTAAATTTCAACCTGGTGTTAAGTAACTATTTCTCTTTATGATGTAGGAGTTTATGTTGCCAATTGATTTTTCAGGAATGTGAGAGAATTTTATCATTCATAATAAAATTATAAGAACTAGATATAATTATACAACAAGGTTTTATTAAATAATAACTACAGTCATGCACCTCATAACAATATTTCGGTCAATGACAGACCACATATACGACGGTGGTCTCATTAGATTTAGTACCATAGAGCCTAGATAGCAGTAGGCTATACCATCTAGGTTTGTGTAAGTACACTCTATGATGTTCACATGACAACGAAATCGCCTAATGACACATTTCTCAGAACATGTCCCATTGCTAAGCGATACACAACTGTATTATTAAAATAAGTCAGGGGCTGTGCTATTTGTTTTGTGTGTGATTCTCACTACAACTCTAGTCAGATTATTCTATTCTCATTGTACAGATAACGAAACTGAGGCACTCCTTAGTTTCCAGATGGTCCACTAACGTATACTACTCTTCAGAAATTCATTGACAAGAACCGTGATACCAGGAAGCTTCATTTTTTAACAGATAAAAGAACTACCTCTTTAAATGTAGTGTAATCTTGTCTAGGCCAGAAGAGTTTATGCTTTCCATTCTACTCAAAGGCTTTGGGATTCCTAATAGAGGAGAGGTTGGTAGGGTACATGATAGAACAGGCAGATTTCATCTAATAGTGCACTGTCTAAGAAGATGGATTGGAAACATAAAGAGCTAATAACACCAAAGATTTTCTTTGCTGGGTTATCTTTTATACATTAATTATACAGAAGAGCCTGCCTAAATGGATACTCTTGCTGTGGAATGTTTCTTTTAAGAGAGGCTTCTTTTCCTTACTCTGCACTTGAGTTGGGAGATATTATCAGAGAGCTATCAGGGAGATAAGTTGATACAGTAAGACAAAGTTTATTCCGTTTGTAGTATAAGCTTATTCATTTAACTGACCAATGAATCATCATCGTATAGGAGACTGTGTCACTGTGATAGGGGCAATCACCCCTGTAGTTTTAAATCAAATATCCATGAGAACTGCTTCAACTTGGCAAATTTTTAAGATACTCTTGTTTATGCTTCTACCACATTGTGTAGTCTCTTCCTAGATACTCATTTTTAATATCTTTTGTAAATAAATGTTACTTGATGTGTACAACCAACTTGAGAATCTTTCATGTTTCTCTATAACTCCATTAAAGGCAACAATTTCCAAACGACTAAGCAGAATATGCATTATTTTTCAAACTTAAAATATTTTGATTTTCATTTTCTCTAATTTCTAGGGTACTGTTTGTATCTGGTCTTATTTGTGCACATATCTTGCATGAAAGACAACTGGATTTTTTTTTTCCTTTTTGAAAAAAACATGTTTTTCAATGGAGGTGAGGGGACTAGGTAGTCTAGGGGCTGACGGCTACATGCCAGCGCTGTGTCTGCCTCGTTATTCCTATCGCTCCATTTAATCTTCCCAACTGGGAGCTCAAATAATCCTGTTTTCAGTCATTTCCAACAACTTCCTTTCTGTTTGCTCTGTATAGTGAAAGAATGGGAAAATCCAGTCACTTTCTATTTGCGTGTGGGTTTTCTTTCTCCTGCAGCTGTCCTAAACTTGTTTCTTGTTTGTGCAATCAATTTTTCTTTTTCCTGAGTCGTCAGTTTCCAATGTATTCCCAGTTATCACACAGCTTCATCTAGTCCTAGGTTTTCTGCCCACCTGTACAGCTGGTCCAGGGCTCACAACTTTGGAAAGTGAATTCTGTTTTCCTGGTCGTCATTGCTATTACCTTATTTGACTTTAGTTCCCTATTGTTACTTAAAGTTTTGAAGTCATTTTTTTCTGGAAGTTAATTTGGTTGGTTCCCTTCTATCCTTTGTTTGTTCTCCTTCATGACTTGCAGCTAGATTTTCCTTTTCTTTAAATGTCAAACAAATTCTCACATTCCATTATGAACGTAGTCAATGGTTGGCAAACATGATACTTACGTTCTTTGGACCCAATATGCCAAATTCAAGAGTTTTATTTAATACTACACACGTGCGCATGCATGCGCACACACGCACACATGCACACACTGCATTAAAATAAACCAATGTAAGCAACTGTGATTCTCTTTCAGAAACACGACGGCCACTTCACAGTCATCCAGTTGGTCGGTATGCTCCGAGGCATTGCATCAGGAATGAAGTATCTTTCTGATATGGGTTACGTTCATCGGGATCTGGCAGCTAGGAATATATTGGTCAACAGCAACTTAGTGTGCAAAGTGTCTGATTTTGGTCTCTCCCGTGTGCTGGAAGATGACCCAGAAGCTGCTTATACAGCAACTGTAAGTTTACACGTCCTTTTCCAATATACTTATTGTTTTTAATGCTACTAGAGTAATTCTGTTTTTGTTTTCCTAATTTTGTGCTCTCATTTGTCGTTTTTCCAATTTTGCATCATTATTTAATTAAGAAGTATTTGCTTTATGTGAGTGCCTAGTAAAAAAAAAGACCTTAAACTTGGCTGCTTTCTTTCTTCCATTGTACCGCGACTTTACCTTAGCATCCTGCTTGAGGTCCACATCACGACTGCCTTCACCACAAAGTGGGCCTTTGCCTGAGGTATTTTTGATGCTTCAATAACTATCTCCTTTAAATGGGGTTCTGTAGAGGCCAACGGTGCAGCCAGTTAATAAGTCAGTGATGCTGAAGAGCCAGTGGTTATGAAATGACGTTGTTTTTCTCACAGCAAATGTTATGGAATGATCAGATCATACTTAAAAATGAACAATATAGGTTCTCTGAAGATAAGTACACTCTAAACCTTTTTTGGAGTGATACTTTGGGAAAATGTAAGTGGGCATAAAAGGCTAAAACTTGACAACCAAACTAACATGTGTAAATTATATGATCTCAACTTAACCCATGAATAGTTGAAGCATTTCTGAGTGCCCCCAAACCAGTTCATTCCACTGATCTCTTTGGTTATTGTTTCAAGGAGTTCAGTCTCAAAGTCTCTCTTCAGCTATCTTAAAGCTAGTCATTTGTAAAATTATACTATATTCTGTTATTTTTTAAACAAAACCCTTACCATTGACTCATTTGACAGCCAGCTTCAATGAAAAATAAGTCAGTAAAACTATTCAAGATGTTTTTTTCTCTTCTCTTTTTCTAACTTTACACCTTATTTTAAAAGAGGCAAATCCGTTATTTAGTCCCCTTTTATTTCATTTTCTATGAGATGTTTTTCACACTTCACTGTGTTCAATTACTCCAGAATGGGTGCAGTATAATATTATGAATGAAACGTAGTATGCCCTTACCATGTTTGCTTTGTAGAAATGCTCTATATTAGTTTATCAACAATATTTTCACTAATTTCTCCAACAAAGAAATACAGTTCTAAGGAAAATAAATTAATCTCTCAGAGTCTGATATATAAGTCTGATTATATATATATATATATATACACACACACACACACACACTCCTTGGAGAGTGAATAACCAAAAACAAAGGATTCTTGAGAACAGATAAATGACTACACAGAGAGAGGACTAAGAGGACCCAAATACAGTAAAACATACTAAAACCAGTAGAAGTGCAGAGGGCAAGAGTGGACAGTGCAGCATGAGAGGCAGCACCAGTAGTAGCCGATTTTCCTGGTAAGCCCTGCACTGAAATACATCACGCCTTCTCAAAGGACCTTAAGAACTGGTAATGGCATGAAAACCAAGAAATGTGCATTGTGGGTTAAAGTTAGAAGGAGAAAAACGCACCAAAATAGGATCTAGATGAGGACTGGGGCCCTGCCCTTAGGTGCAATTCTGTGAAGAGCTTACCTGGCACTTGGTGAGAGAGATTGGTGAATGATTATGAACCACAGCTAATGATACATATACAATTAGTGATATGTGGTGGACTTAATCTGCATGGAATTTACTGAGTTTGGGTTGTTCTCATTTGATTGCATGGTCTCCTCTCTGGTTATAATTTCTGTGCTAAGAAATTGCTTCCTTTTCTGAATCTGACACACATTCACATGGACGACAGTTTTAGATCCAGTTCCACAGGAGGGACTTTCTCTCATTTGAATATTGCTAAGCAACCAGTCTTAAACTTGCACTGAAAATATTAAGCCTCTTTGCTCTCAGTTATGGAAATGAGGTCCTATTTACCTAAAAAGAGCATTAAAAGATATATTATGGCTCACACTTATCTGTTTTAAGAGATAAGTTTTATTTAAAATATAATGGCAGTTACTGTTCAGATTTTTTTAAATTATGAGTAACTCCTTTTCTTATATTTTAAAGATCAAAACAAAATGGAAAAATCATTTTATCACAAAATCTGCTAAAAATTCAAAGATTCTTTGATTCTGACTTTCAACCATGTTTATTCTGTGTTATCCAAGGCAAATTTTGCTTTTTTCTTTGACGGTTAGCAACAATTCCATATAAGTACTTTCTTAGTTGAAATACAGAGCCTCATTATTGACAATACACACATGATCTGCATAATCACAGTTCTGTTAACATCTTAATTCTGTTTACTTTGCAATCGTAAGACCTCTTCCAAGCTCCAACTCTTAACCTCCCCTATTTTACATAAGATAAGAGAAAAGTCAAATCTCCTGTCAGTCTAAGAAGGCATGGTCCATACCCCATATGGAGATAATTATAGCAAACAGTGGAGCAGCACGAAGGGGAGATATTTGTATGTGTATGCTGAAGTTGGGGGAGATCTGAGCAGACTTCCTCCTTTACCTAATTCAAGTGTTTATAAATTGGTGTGACTTTTTGATGTGAATTTTTAAATCTTGAGACATGTCCAACTTTAACAATAAATATTTTTAGTAAAAGTGAGATAAAATTATTTTAGATCATCCACTATTCTGCCTTTAAGTACTTTCATTTAACATGAGTAATTGAGATTTGCCTGGAGATCAAGCTTAACCGGCTAGTAAAACATACTCAGAATTTTCACTCATTTTTGTCTCTTTTAAATAAATGAGTTACTATAAAAAGTTACACAGAATTTTTTTGAAAAATACTTTCACTTAAAATCATATAATATCCAATGCACTGAATAAAAGCGCTTATACTGAGAAATGTTTCTGATTTCTTGGATTTTGAAAAATAAAACTTTATCCTTTGAAATCTTGCCACAGGATTCTCTGTCCATCAATCAGTGATGGCAGAGTTGACACTGTGCTGAGATACAACATTTGGTAAAATGCATCTTACACTAGGTCTACCCCTACGTGAACCAGGGCCAATCTGAAGAATGACTTTTACTTCAATTGTTCCTTAAGATTTAGGCAAGCTAAATACGGAGGGCGTATGAGAGCTTCAGGCACAAAGGCAGACCCTCAGGTGGAGGAGCAGGAAACCTGTAGCCACCCAAAAGCTATATGTCGTAGCATCAATAGAGTATAAGGCCAGGTTCCAGCACAGAACTCACTGAAAAATTCCAGTAAAGGAAAGACGGTTTCTTCTAGGCAAATGTAAATTCAACAGCCTGAGTATAAAGAAACAAGGTGAGAAAATAGCAGTGTTATCAGAATGCTGTAACGTGAAGATTTAAGTAACTTCTTTTTCAGTAAAAAGGCGGTGAGCAAATAAACCTTAGAAGAATGAAAAACAATAAAATCCTGGCTGGATGAACCAAATTTATCACTAAGAAAGGAGCTATACCATTTGGGGAAAACAACAAAATGATTCTTCACAAAAAAAAAAAAAAAAAAAAAAACAGTTCTTACTAGACGGACACTATGATAGCAGTCAGATGAAATCGGTCAACTCTGTAGACCATTATAAACAGCTGAAGAGGAAGAAGTCCGTGTGGCAGCATTAGGTTTCCTAACTTCAGAGGAAAAAAGTGCCCCTGAACCAGCAAATGTTTGATGGACTAATTCATGAGAGTAAAATTTGACAGTTTTTGTTTACTTTTGTCAATATAAACTTTTTGTAAAGGAAATTCTAATGATCTAATGTATAAAAGCTATATTCTCAGAAATTAGGGTCTCCACACTTTGAGCCCAAATGCCAGCAAGCAAATCCACAACCACAGAGATGAAAGGGCAACAAAGCTTTATACAAAACCAGAGGGAACGTGTGTTGAATGCAAAGCAAGAGTTTTCTTCAATAACCGTTCAAAATAACCGTTCAAGAGGTGAAGGCCGTATGCAGCAGCTTGGGTCACAGGCTGAGAGACCCAAAATCTTAATGGTAGTTGTCCTATGGTGGCATCAGAAGGGGACAAAACTTCCTTGAAATGTGCTACTTGGGTGAATTGACAATGGCAGATCTTGAGCATAAGATGGAAATGGGAATCAACAATACCAGAGGAGGGGCTGGCCCGGTGGTGTAGCCGTTAAGTTCACGCATTCCGCATCAGCCGCCCAGCGTTTGCTGGTTCGGATTCTGGGTGCGGACCTACTCACCACTCCTCAAGCCATGCTGAGGCAGCGTCCCATATAGAAGAGCGACAACTCTACAACTAGGTACTGGGGCTTTGGGGAGAAAAGAAAAAAGAAAAAGAGGAGGATTGGCAACAGATATTAGCTCAGGGCTAATCTTCCTCAAAAAGAAAAAAAAAAAATACCAGAGAAAATTAATATCTAAAGAATCATTTCCTGAAAAGACTCATCTCTGAAGCTTAGGAAGCAATGTTTTGTGATCATTACAGAGCTCTTTGTAATAAAAAAAATGAAAAATACGTGAAGATTATCATACACAGAGGAGGAAAGGACTGAACAAGTGGGTGGCTCCATGGGAAACCTGGAAGATAGAGAGGACTACCAGCTCAGTCACACGCACCGTCAAGAAGCCAAGTCCTGGGGCCTGCCCATGGCTTGGCGGTTAAGTGCACCCGCTCCGCTGCTGGCGGCCTGGGTTCGGATCCCAGGTGCACACTGACGCACCACTTCTCCGGCCATGCTGAGGCCACGTCCCACATACAGCAACTAGAAGGATGTGCAACTATGACGTACAACTATCTACTGGGGCTTTGGGGGAAAAAAAGGAGGAGGATTAGCAATAGATGTTAGCTCAGAGCCGGTCTTCCTCAGCAAAAAGAGGAGGATTAGCACAGATGTTAGCTCAGGGCTGATCTTCCTCCCTCCCCCAAAAAAAGAAGCCAAGTCTTACTCTGGGAAAACCTCCATTTGTCGTTTGTGCAAATCACGTACAAAAACAAGCTCTTCGTGGATGGAAAGCGGTATGTCTTTCCAGTATGCATTTTAAAGAAGGGACCTTCAGGCCTTGGACCTGGGAAGGCATTACTGAGGACAAAAGACCACTAAGAAACTCTTTCTGTTCAGTACTCAAGGTTTGGTGTGTAACTTACAAGTACTTTTTTTTTTCTCTAAAGTAATGAATCCTTTTAGCTTTGTGTAAAAGCCTGGAGAACAGGAGATTTATCTTTTACATTTTTGAAAGCTTCCCAGCACCTAGAATAATACACTACTTAATGACTACTTAATTAATTGCTGATAGTTGAACCAATAAGAAAAAGGTAGAGAGAAAGTGATTGAAACCATAAGAACATTGTTTTCAGTAGAATTACATTTATTTCTCCTCTGATAGCACTGTTAATCACAACCCACCAAATGAGTAAGCCTAAAACAATCCTTAATGCATCGTAAAGAGATCAAAATTTTGCAATCGAAAGCAGCAAATGTAACAAGTGTTGAAGCACTTATAACAAAGGGTCAGGGTATTCAC